ACTAAGCAAAGTGCTCAATACACTAAGTAGAGCAAATCTAACTACAAACCTAAAGAGCCAGGCAAACCTACCTAGGTTTCACCTACACGGATCGTCAGGGCGACTCCGAAGGCAAATTAAAAACATTCTGGCCTGGATCCGAATGACCCGCAAACAGGAAATTTTGGATTCTCAAGTTTTCATTACTGCCATTGTTTTCAGCGATTTTTTATGTGATATTTTATGACGAATCTTTTTGTACGATAACAGTTTTATAACTTGCAAACAAGTTTTGGAATAATCGAAATTAATAAATCGTTTGCTGAGTGGGGGATACGTTATTTTATTGAGAGAGAATAACTTATGCTCCACTTTTCGGCCACTTTCTTCCATGAGGCAACGTCGCAAGCTCATCACTACTCCATCGCTATTTCCATGGCAAATGTTCAGATGAGCTCCATTCTATCAGTTCAGACTTTTACAGCTAGGACACGCTCCGCTATTTCCACAAAGACGAATCATCCTCATTTCCTCCGTATTCCAAAAGTAAGATGAAACTTACGCTCAGACAATTTTTTTCTCCCAAAAGTTAATTTGCGGAACAGACATTCGCATGATGTTTCCTGGAACACTACAATCTTCTTCAGGTCAAGGGTCAATTATTACATATCTTCCTTACCTTCATAATCTTCACTTTGTACAGTATGTGCGAATGGTGTAATGGACGACTGCTCGGATTAAGGAATAAGAGAGCCAGGTTCGATTTCTAGTTGGCTTCGTTACGCACAAATAACCTTGGAAAAGGCATGAATCCATAGAGTTGGGTTTGTAGGTAAAATCATTGTTATCTAAAAAAAAAATATTGGTAATGCAATATTCACTCGTTAAAAAAATATTGCTCTTACAATCAAAAATGTGTCGGTTTTAAATAATCTACAAAGGGTCGATGAGCCGTAAAAACAACCATTCACTTCTTAAAAAAACTTTTCTTCCATTCATATCACACACTTCATTCATCATAATCATTTTTAATCAAATGCAACGTCGCATGCCTATCCCTAATCTATCGCTATTTCGATGAGCGCCACTCTTTAATTCCATCATTTCAGACATCTCCAGCTCTACCTTGAGTGTCTCTTGAGCCATCTATTCAGTGAAATTTAATTTTGAAAGTAGTAATGGCTAGAGGCTCGGATTGTGGAATCGGAGAGCCGAGTTCGAATTCCAGTCGAATCCATTACATTCACTTACGTGCTCTTCTTCTCCCCCAGCTATAGGTAAATAGCAGGACAGATCGGGCTCCATAGCCTTGGATGGCAACTGGTCTTCCGCAGAAAGAAGTGGCAACCTACTGCGGGAAAAAATCTAGCCTCGTCAGTCATGTATCGAAAGATACATGATCGCCTAAGAGTGTATCCCAAACGTATGATCATGTGACAAAATCGTCAGAAATTAGAATGTAATTATTTAAATCAACACTAGTAAGCGTCTCTCATGTTGCAAGGATTAGTAAACTCGAATCGTTGAACAATTCTGTTAGCAGTTCGATATTTTTTGAATATCTCTATAGGGTGATTTCATCATGGATTTAAGTACTTTATTAAATGTAGCTTTACCTTTCAAGAGACAGGGCTTTAAATGAATCGAACTTATTCGCCTTGAAAATCAAGCATTTGAAATCCTGAGTTAGTCCAAAGTTATGTAAAATCACAGAAAAATAAACATGAATGAAGATTCATTTACGCATGCGCATTTTCCCAAAGCAACCATCTATTTCGCGTCCTTCAAAGAAAAAAAGCTTTTCTTTCTTTGACTCACCATACGGTACAAAAGGAGAGGAAAAGATAAAAATATTGCAACGGTCAGATTGAACTAATACCGAATGAATAATAGCAAAGGATGTAATATAATATTACATATGAAAGTAGTAAATGAGCGTTTTATTTCACGCAGAACGAATGGTGGCTTGAGAAAATAAGGGAACTGCTTGTAACGCTTTCAGTAGAAGTTCGTTATACGGGCAGTCGGACAGTATGAGCTGGTGGGACAGGGCCGCTAGAATGGTCTCTAGGGGGAGAAAAAGAAGGCTCTTTGGGTGACAGGTAAATCATTGACTAATCCATCTTCACATTTGTAGGGTGTGGCACAGTACTAAGATAATGAAGATCGGTGTTTCATTCAACCTGTACATATGGAAGGGATCTTTTTACTTCTGATCACAGGAAATAAACGGTGACATCGCAGATTAATACGAAGTAGCAGGAGTTAGCTTAGGAGAATGAAGATAACTAAAGGACAATTGGTAAATATAAAATAAAATCGTGACCATAGTGAAAGTTTTGAAAATTTAGAAACAGTTGGTGACGGCGTAAAAGGTTACAAATTGGATGAGCGGGGAAATAAAATAAGACGCAATTTGGGTGTGCATTTGTAAATACGTATATTAGGAAAATTAATAACAAAGTAGAAAAATAAGGAAAATTAAGGAAAAAAATTAGGAAAATTAATAACAAAATTAAAAAAAATTAGGAAAATTAGGGAAAAATATTAGGATAATTAATAACAAAGTAGAAAAAATTCGGAAAATTAGGTAATAAAAATTAGGAAAATTAATAACAAAGTAGAAAAAATTAGGAAAAAATTAAGAATATTAATAACAAAGTAGAAAAAAATTGTTTGACGAGTTCCGTCCTTAAATAATTCATTGAACTAAAGTGATATTTACGTTGATGTAACTACACATTATTTTTACAATGGCGTTCAGCTTGTACAAGGCCCAAAAGCCACTCGAGGTAGCGGTAAGATTTGTTGAATGGTCGTTTTTGTTTGGCGGCATATCAACCTCTATGGGATATTTAACGCTGAAATTTAAATATTTTGTACGCATTTTTATTTTTTTGGTTTTAGTGTTACAAGTCTTACTAATTAACCCATAGCTGGGAGGAGAATAGGTGGATTCATACCTTTCCCAAGGGGAATTGGAACTTGGATCACCGATTAACAATTCTGAGTCATTACACATTACACCATCCGTACAGCATCTGGTATTCCCAAGCGGTTATCCATCTAGGTACTGACCAAGCTCGACGTTGCTTAACTTCGGAATTCGTACGAGAACTGGTGTTTCAACATGCTCACGCTGTATGCCTACAGCTTAAGCGGCACAGTTTATGCATATATGTAGGGAAGATAAAGGTTAACCTTTGACTTGAATAGGTTAAAATTGTAGCGATCGGGGAAGCATCCTGTTGGGAGTCTGTTCCACAAAGTAGCTGTCCCTCAGAAGGAGCTGCTCGAGTGAAACTTACATCTCTGTAATGGAATACGAAGGGAATGAGGGTCGTTCGCAACAATGGGCGTGGCATGGCGGGTCTTAGGCGTGAAGGTTAGAACCTACGAAATGCAGTTCATTTGAACAATTTCCATGGAATTTTTTTTAACAGTGGGATTCATTTTGTACAAGGCCCAAGGGCCACTCGAGTTAGAGGGTTGCAGTAAGAGGTAGTTTATGTGGGTAGGAGGAGAAGATAATGGTTAACCCCAGACTTGAAAAGTTAAGATTGTAATGGGCAAGAAAACATCTCCTTAGGAGTCGGTTCCACAGAGTAGTGAGTGAGGGAGCAGAGCGACTCTTGCAACGTTTCGAGTAAAAGGTTGTAGGGTGAAAAATAATTCAGAGGCGTACGAATGGGAGTGGATGCTGAAATGTTTAACTTTTAAATTTAATTGATTTTTTAATGTGTTTTGGTATTTAGTCAAGCTAATTTCATTTGGTACCTTTTTCATTTTTGTTTATCATTTTTTATCATTTTTAAGTTCTTACTTATTAAGTACCCTATATTATGATAATAACAGATTTGCCAAGAAAGGTGAAATGTTATAAGTACCTGGAGGCAATGTGCACAGAATAGCAGGTCTTAACTGTACAGGTTAGAATTGGTCGAACTAAGAATGCAGTTTGTCTGAGCACTTTCCATAGAAAAACCGATAGAGCAGTGTGATACCGAGTTCGAATTCCAGTCGAATCCATTACATTCACTTACATATTAATACCCTTGGGAAAGGTATGAATCTGCTTCATCTCCACCCAGCTATGGGTAAATAGAAGGAATGACCGGATTCTATAGCCTTGGATGGCCACTTGTCTATTGCAGAAAGAAATGGCAACCTACTGCGGGAAAAATCTGCCTCGTCAGTCATGTATCAAAAGATACATGATCGCCTATGTGTGCATCACACATGGCACATGACTGACTGACTGACTATTACTAAGAGGAGGCATGGTGGAGTAATGGATAGCGGCTCAGATAGAGGAATGGGAGAGCAGAGTTCAAATTCCACTCGAATCCATTACATTCACTTACATGCTAATACCCTTGGGAAAGGTATGAATCTTCTTCTTCTTACCCCCTCCCCAACCAGCTATGCGTAAATAGCAGGACAGACCGTGTTCAATAGCCTTGGATGGCAACCGGTCTACCGTAGAAAGAAATGGCAACATACTGCGGGCAAAAAAATCTGCCTCGTCAGTTATGTATCGAAAGATACATGATCGCCTAAGAGTGTATCACGCATGGAACATGACTGACTGACTGATGTTGCGTCTGTGAACAGAGGATGTTATAATGGAAAATAATAATGTATCACCCACAACGACACAGAGACGGTTTTGGACTCTGTCAACCCGGGACTGCTGACAGTAATCCATTTTAGGCCTGAAGAGGAGTCATGCAATTACTGGATCGGCTCAGGAAACCAACCATTTTTTTAGTGATGGATCGTATGTACCACTTAAGGTTTGTGTTGAGGCCCAATAGTCGCTCAAAGCACGGGGCCCTCCCCGAGGGACAATCGTGTTTGGTGATAGATCAGGGCCCGATCTGCGATGATTGAATGTAACTAGTTTGGTTTTCAAGTCATTGAATGTAACCAGCCAGTCCTCCCGACCCTCGAGCTGTCAAAGATAGATCAGAGGAGAGAGCAACTGCCCATCACGAGTTTTGTTAGTGCATCCATATCGTCGTCGGCAACACACGCTGTCATCCAAGCATCGGGATGTTCATCTTTTTTCATTCCCTTTTTTCACTACTGTTAGTTGAAGGATATTAGAAAGCGAGTTTGAAGGGGCCATTCGGGTGAATTTGATTTTGGTGGACCCACTCTGCACGACGAAGAAGCCCACACACTTGGACAGAAGCGCCTCCTTCGAGGCTCAAAGTGTCTTGAGACAGGCGATATCTGACAAAATTGGTTGCATCGCGCTGTCGAATGCTTAATCTATCCAGGTCTGTCTTGGTTACGCTAGCCTGACTGGCGCTGTCCTCTTTCGCCGGTTTGGTCATTGATATCGTGTAGGTCGGGTTCTGTCTGCTCCCATTTCTACCTTACTGCCATGCGTCGCCCTACAGCTGTTGGAACTCCAGACAGCTTCGCTCTTGCGATTACCGGGACACGCAAGTCCTCTACCAGGACAATCAATGATATATTCGTTATCAAATGTATGTATCATTTTGACTTATTATTTTAATAACAATAATAGAAACGAATCAACAAATGAAAAAAGAGTAAAAGTATAAAATTATCATTAAATATATGGGAACATTTTTATTATTGATGTTGCTAAAATATTTGAAAGATAAATAATAAAGGAAGAAATTCATTACTGGACCAATATTTTAAAAAATAAACAAAAGAAAATAACTTTACGACTTGAAACTCTTCCTAAAACATTTTTGGCATCTATATACCGTTGTATCATCAGCATAGAAATATATAGCTGTCCTTTCAGTGGTCTTTGTGCAATTTTGAGTTTATTTTCATGCGATTTTGTTAATGTCTGTGTTTCTAACACACAATAATATTCGCAAGGTGTTTTTTTTTGGGGGGGGGGTGATAGAACTAATTTCAACTCGGAACTAATTTCAACTCGGAATTAATTTCACCTAGGAATTAATTTCAACTCGGAACTAATTTCAACTCGGAATTAATTTCAACTCGGAATTAATTTCAACTCGGAACTAATTTCACCTAGGAATTAATTTCAACTCGGAACTAATTTCAACTAGGAACTAATTTCATCTCGGAATTAATTTCAACTCGATTAAAAATCAAAGTTATCAATTTCCGTGAATTCCGAAACAAAATGCAATGAGTTGATGTTAATTTTTAATTCAGCATTAAAAATCCTTAGTGGATATTAATTTAGCGTATACCTTTCTCTTTTTGAGTAGGTACACGTTTACTTATCATCTCCCAGTTGCGTCTGTGTCTTTGGGCAGAGTGCGCTCAGGGGGTTTTCTGTCAAAGGACAGAGGGACAACTGAGGAAAATAATACTGAAGAGGTCCCCAGCCCTGGGGAACAGCTGCCCGAGGCCGCGCCCTCCCATTGCACCAGAGGGAGGGATCGGTGCTCGCACCGACGCCAGCTCAACCGACGGTTGCGAGGAATGTGGAGAATTTTTGTTCCTGTCCCGGGTGTACGCGCTCGGGTCCCCACCTAAAAATAGACCTAGTGTCACATCTCGTCCTAATGGTTCAGAGTAAATACTTACTCGGGTTACGCTTTCCTGCGCTTCCCGGTCATCGGGCTTGGATCAAAGTGTAGTAACCGTCCTCGGAAGAACATATTACATTTTTATCTCTCAATTGTGTTTCTGTCTTCAGACAGTGCACAACTCAGTTGTTTCTTTGTCTTCAGGTAGAGCGCAACTAAAAAATATGGAAAGGAACAGGGACATTACCCCGCACCATTTGCGCTAGAGAGGAGGGGATCGGTAGTAATACCAATGCCACAGTGCAACCAATCTTTGCAGAGACTGATTATTTTTTCATCCTGGCTCGAGAGCACGTGCTCGGGCACCCCACCTTAAACTGAATTTGTGTCATATCATAACGGCATAGGGTGGCAATAAATACAATCATCCTTTGGACGGATAAACTCCATTTTCTCTCTGAACTGACCAAGCAGCCAGTGCTAATCGACTTAACTATTTTCTTCACTCCTGCGCCATCGTGCTGGGATCAAAGTATAGTATCAGTTCTACTCATCTCTTATGTGGAAACATTTGGCATTCATTGACTAAGCAGCCAGTGCTATTCGATTTTACTCTTTTCTTCGCTCCCTGACAATCGGGCTGGGATGAAAGTGAAGTACCTGCACTCGGACGAACAAATTACAGTTTATCTCTCAATTGTGTTTCTGTCTTCGGACAGAGCGCAATTCACTTTATGTCTTCGGGGAGAACGCAACTGGAAAAATACCGAACGATGCCCGGTCTGAGGTTACAACTGCCCGTGGCAGTAAGCCCTCCCCTCTCATTACATTAAAGAAGGGGAATCGGTAGTAATACCGATGCCCCCGGGTCACATACTGACAGCGTTGGACGGCAGGTAAGTACTAATTGTAATATATGTTCTCCTTATCTCTAATAGTAATGCTAATATCATCCTCTTCCATATAAGGAATAATTCGGCTTTCCTTGACCGAGAAGCCAGTGTTACTTTCAGTTGAAATTTATAAAATCTTTCTACTAAAAGCATTTTTCGGGAAAACAGGTTTCTCACGTCCACTAACTGCTATCACTATTTCCTGCATTGATGGGTGTTTCTTTCCTAATCTTTTATTTGAAGTAGTGTGGAATATCAACATCTTGAATATGTCGTTATTTTCTCTTCAAGTTATATGTTCTAACTGTTTGGTTTGGTTTATTTTGTTTTACGGCATATCAACCTCAATGGCTTATTTAATGTCGACAAAATTTTTTTATTACTGGTAATATTTTGTTTTGTCAAAAATCTGTTTCTGGTAATATTTTTCCTTCAAAATTGTATTGCTAGTAATAATCTTTTTCAAAAACTTATTGCTGGTAATAGTTAACTATTTGCCCATAGCTGGGACCCTAGCAGGTGCTACCACCCCGGGTCAGGGAGGACCGGGGAACACCAGCAATTAAGAGGTGGTTCCACGCTCCTCAAAACCTCCTGATCAGAGGCTTTGCTGCTGGACGTAGTTTATCGTTTTACTCAGGACGCGGATGTAGTTTAACGTCTTACCCAGGACGATGTTCTAACTGTATACAATACTGATTTTGTGTAACATACCAATCGTTACGGTTTCCTCGTCAGCGGCGCTACATAATCTTTATTCTCCAATCTATCATTGCGCAAGACAAATGAACATTTCTCGTTACTAGATTTCGAGTCAGCAACCACAACTTTTCATCTGATATCTCCGGAACTCTTTTCAAAATCTACCTTTCGCATGTTCATTCTTGGAATCATATTTTGTATTTGCAAAGAATAAATTTTGGCACATATATTTGAATTCCTCGTTTTAGTTGTTCTTGCTTTTGACATGTCAGATCATTGTTTTTTATTTTTAAATGTTAGCGGGCACCGTCTTAATGAACCAAGCGAGGCTTGGGTGTCCCGCTACATATCCATATCATATTAATTATCCATTGTTAATTAAGTGATGTGGTTTCCGCTATTCGGTACAGTAATTCATGATTCTGTAACGCCAGTCTTCGAGTTCCGAAGTGTGATGGACCTCTCCAAGACCTGCAAGGTTCTTTTATTGGAAGCTATTGCTAATCTTTTATAGGAGAAAGCGTATACAGCTAACAATTTAAACTTTTCTGAACGATCTGGACGCCATGATGCAAGTGCATCAAATGAAAGTTTTAATCTGACAAAGGTGCTTAAGAAAATGACTCGAGTTCTTAGTTAAATTGTTTTGGTATTGTAGCATTTTGCGGGAGTTTATCTCCATCTCTCTCTCTCTATATATATATATATATATGTATATATATATATATATAGAGAGAGAGAGATGATATATATATATATATATATATATATATATATATATATATATATATATATATATATATATATATGCGGTACTTCGTGAAAGTAACCAATATCTGTGATAGAGCTAACATATTCAGTTGCTTCTATATTATTCAGTTGTTTATATATTAGTTTATAACCTGGATTTCACGCTTTTGCGATCATCAGACAAACTGGTTTATTTTTGTAAAATGTGGATCTATTTATGCTTATTAGTGTTTGATTATTTGTGGGTGGTGGAGGGGGGAAATTTTCCTCTGTGTTTGTTTGCGATGACCCTCTCACATACATAGACACACATACGTACAGGTGTCTGCATTTTAGTTCGTACAAACACACCCATATAAATAATCTGAGATTAGGCGTAGATACACATCCATGCGATCGAGCATACATATATACGCAATTGTCATTCTGTTTCGGTGTCGAGACTGTAGCTTTACATGTGTAGCAATGTTCTCTTAACAAGGAACAGGTGGGGGGTGGAGGTGGTTTTGACGGTTTTCCAGATCGGCCGTCCGCGCCCTCAGATACGCTCACATTACCTCACACATACATGCATACACATATGTAGACATGTACCCACAATCATTTGTCTGGGTCCACTACCACCACGTTAGTTAAGTTGAGTTCTGTCTGTGGACATTGTCGTCGGGTTTATCCCGTATCCAAGAATTGAAGAAGTAATGAAGATACTCTGTTACATCTAAAAATGATGCTGTTTTTGCTCCATTCTAATTGAACGCTTTTTCTGATCGACCAGTTGGATATGGCTGCTAGTACAATATATTTTAAGTAATTAGTTCGATCCTTACCCTGAGGATAGAAATAATAATCGACATTAAATAATGCAATGTCTTAAAATCAAGTAACCTACACTTAGTTAATATTTGTTCACCCCTTTTTGATTGTCGCAAAACAACCTTTGAGCCAACTATAAAAATCTCTTTTTCTAGCAAATTATCAATAAATGTCACTTTAATATTAAAGATAATCTACGGAAATTCTGTGTTTCCTAAATTTAAACTATATTTATCATCTATTTTATTCAGTTCTCTATATGTGACTGCCTACAACGTGCAGAGTTACTACCAAGGCATCCAGATGGTCCATACCAACGGATTTGTATCGACGGAAGGATTCAAAACCCAGCAAGAGCCAGACCAACATGGACTTGTTGAGATCAAACGAAAAGTAAATAAGGTCGGTATTAAATTATTTTATAAGTCGTCATTTCATATCAAAGAATTTGATTTCTTCTTTGCTGATCGCTGCTTTTATAATGTTGACATTGATGACTAAGAAGACCAATTCTTGCATAAAAGAGCCGATGAAATTGACTTGATGGTAATATTAGTGGCGGATGAGTTCGATTTCGTCGAGCATTTCTCTCTTGTTCTTTTCTCTTCAAGTGACTTCGAAGTTTTTAGTTCCAACAAAGATGGAATACCGCTAGTTGGTACGGTCTTGGGCTTGTCTTTCAAACAATTTAGGCTCATAACCAGTGGTTTTCGGTAATATTTTGAGTTGTCCCTTGTATAATTGTCAATTTCGTTCAGCTGGCTTTTGTCTGTTGACATCGTCGTTGGGTTTATGTCGTATCCAAAAATTTGATTTCTTCTTTGCTGATCGCTGCTTTTATAATGGTGACATTGATGACTAAGAAGACCAATTCTTGTATAAAAGAGCCGATGGAATTGACTCCATGGTAATATTAGTGGAGGATGAGTTCGATTTCGTCGAGCATTTCTTTCTTGTCCTGTTCTCTTTTGATGGAGTTTTTGCTTCCGATGATGATGGAATGGTATTTACTTGATTCCCACTAAATCAAGATATGACACAAGGTCGATTAACGTGGGAGACCCGAGTGTTTCCACTCATAGGCCACTGGTCAAAATATTGGTCAGAGCTTGTCCAAGCTGGTCAGAGCCTAGTCAAAGCTGGTCATAACTTGTCCTAACAGGTCCAGGCCGAAGCCAGTCCAAGCTAGTCAAAGCTTGATCGAATCTCAGTCTTCCACCAAGAAACGATCCATTACTTGTCAAAACCCCCAGCCGAAGCCGGGAATACCGCCAATTGGTACGGTTTCAAAGGATTTAGGCCCATGACCAGTGATTTTCGGTGATGTTTTGAGTTGTCCTTTGTATCTTCGAAAAGGGTAACCCCGTTGTCTCTTCCCTGAAGTGAGCTCATTGAATAGGACTTGACATGGAAACCTTCACTCTTCCATTCTTACTACATGCCGTGATAATCGAAGACTGTTTAATGATAAGCGATTCGATGCTTTGACTGTTGGTTCTTTCCTGGACTTAGGTGTTGGTCAAATAGTATTTCCATTTAATGTCCAAGATTGAGAGAATCGTCTGTTGGTGAAAGTGTTCTAATTTTGGGATATCGCGATGTTATAGAGTTCAGGTTTCGCAGCCATAATGCAAAGTTGAAATGACAACAGCCTTATAAACCATAATTTTTGTTTAGTTCAGATCTTTGTTGTTGAAGACGCATTTGATTAGCTTTTGTGCAGCTCCAATTCTCTGTTCCAAATTCTTTTCTGAGGTGCACTTGTTTGATAAAAGACTGCCTAGATATAGAAAATACCCCACTTGTTCGAGAGGCGTATTATAGATGGTTATATTAAACTCTTGTAAGATGGTATTTGAGGCTGGCTGTGCAAGGACCTTGGGTTTCTTTATGTTTACTGTAAGGCGAAAACAGTGCTAGGACATAGCAAAGTTATTCACAGACTATTTTTTTCTTCTTTTCAATGACACAGAGGTCAGCGTTGTCATTAGCATATTGAAGTTCTGAGATGTGCTGCGTGTGTGTTAGACGTTTAAATCGAAGTCTACTGAAGTTGAAAAGTCTCCCATCATATCGATATCTAATGTCAACTCTTGGATTTTTGGAAGGAAGTTTGTGAAGAATTGTAGCCAGATCCAAGTAGAATAACATAGATGCCAAGATGAATCCTTGTTTTAGTCCGTACCTGACTGGGAATTCTTCTGACAGAATGTTCTAGTGGAATACACGTCCAGGAAATTTGTCATGCATTGCTTGAGCCGGAGAGATAAAGTGGTTGGGACATTCAAAACAATGAAGAACTTTCCACCTAGCAGCTCTTGAAACGCTACCAAAGGCCTTTTCTAAGTCATAGAAAACATATTTAGTTGTGGTTATTTTCCTCGGTTCTAAATGTTGATATTTGACATAAAATGTATTAGTTTAAATTTGTTGTCACATTTCGGACGTTGTGCCCTCAAGCCTTCACCAGGATAATTGCCTAATGGCTTAACTAGAAAAGTTATCCTTATCATCATGGACAATGGAACAAGAACAGTCTACCCCCGTAGATTAAATAAAGGGTTCAATACGGAATTCCCTGTAGGTTAACCGAGTCGCTATACACCTGATGAAGGCCGAAGGGCACAACGGACGAAAAGTGATAACAACAAAAATGAGGACAATATTCCGAATATAAATAGCGTAAAATTTATTAAATTTATATCTAGGAATTATATTTACTTTTCGACTCATGGAATGGTCTTAGGTAGCGTAGTAAGAATTTCTTTTCGTTTCTGTAGTTGGAAAACAACTGATCATTTATTTCAGAGGTGATTTATTTCTCTATATGACTAATTTTTGTAAAAAAAAAATATACAGTATAAATATAGATTGTACAACTCTCATAATAATGATTAGTCGCCAGAATAATGCTTGTAAAATCCACGCTATAACTGATATATATATATATATATATATATATATATATATATATATAGAGAGAGAGAGAGAGAGAGAGAGAGATGTGTACCCCTATCATAACAATATATACTGACAAATGAATGTGCATGTGCTCTCACAGACACGTTAGCACGCACGTTCATTCACACATATTCATTTCTACACACACGGCCCAAGTATGCACATAGATGGATAAGCATACATTCACTGGCGCGCCCGGGCGGCCATAAACATGGTAAACTCGAGGTTGGATAAGCCTGCACGGCATCAGAAAACGAAAATGAAAGTAGAAAATGGCGCGAAAAAGAGAATGGGAAAATAAGGAAGGGAAATGCAAAGAGGCGTTTAATAAAATAAAACGACACGGGAAAAAGCGTGAATTGCCGACCCGGGAAAATAAAAACAAACGTTGAAGCTAGTTTGGGAACAATAGAGAAAAGATTGAGGAATGGCAAAGCTGACAGTTCCTTCCTCCCTTTTGTGAACTACACTCACAGACTAAATATTGTTTGTTTTGTTGTTTACTTTTTTGTTTGTTTGTTTGTTCCGCCTCCCCCCCCCCTCCGCTTTTTTTCCCACTTTACCTGTTTCCTTCTTACTTTTCTTCCTGAAATCATTTTTAGTAATTTTTTTCACATTTTGCCAAATTCTTCCTAATTTATTACATGTGATCTGAATACAGATCCCTTCTTTTTCTCTTCTCTTTCTTTTTTAATCAATCTATTTCTCTCGTCTCCTCACATTATCCGTTTTGTACTCTCTTTCTCTCGCCTTTCTTTTATTAGTCTATCTCTTTCATCTTCTTACTTCATCTATTTTACCCTCTCTTTCTCTCACCTTTCTTTATTGACCTGTCTATTTCTCTCATCTTTCTCTATTTTACTCTCTCTTTGTCCGACCTTTATTAATTTGTCCCTTTCTCTCATCTTCTAATTTTATCTATTTTAACCTTTCTCTCTCCTCCTCCTTCTCCCGTTCTGTCTTGTAATCCCTATTAAGTTTCAAACTCTCTCTCGCCCTTTCTTCACTTCTCACTCTTTCTTGCTATCTCTTTGTTCTCATTTTGTCTCTGGCTTACTCTCTCTCTATTTCAGTCTCATTTGCTTTCTCATTTTCTTCTATTTCCCTTTTTCCTTCTTACCTTTTTTTCGCGTAGCCAATCTTTTAATTTCTCTTTTAGCCTTTCCCCTTCAGTCACTCTCTCTCACACACACATACACACACACACACGCGCGCGCACACATACACCCTATTTCTCCCCTGTTTTTATGTTTGTCATTTTTCTTCATTTATTTCTCTCTCTCTCTCTCTCTCTCTCTCTCTCTCTCTCTCTCTCTCTCTCTCTCTCTCTCTCTTTGATATGAAGAGACTAGGGGTGATGAAAAGCTCTCCAAATCTGGCTATTTTAGTGGAGACGAGAGGGTGCTTGGTTACGCCGACAATTTTTCAGCATCCCTCATCGATTTTATTCTCTCTCTATCTTTCTATTTTTTCTTTCTTTTATAAACACACACATACATACATACATATATGCATACGCACGCACGCACGCACGCACGCCTAGAGGAGCCTACTTTCAACATATATCTCTTCCTGATCCGTGCATTTCTCACTCTTTCCCCCGCCCGCATCAAGTACGCCCTAGCCTTTCAAATTGTCCACTATTTTCTTAAGATTTTATTTGCACACATAAAAAGGCAGGGGTTAAGTGGGGGTTAATTCTGCAAAACAAGAAAATGGGTTTCAAGTCTCGAAGACCGGAAAAGGTGAGAGGTGGGTTACGGACGGGTTCTGAGGATCGGGATCGGGAGAATGTGTGAGGAATGAATGACTATCCGCCCAGAAAGTAATGGAAACAACGAAGAAATGAAAAGGAAAGAAAACGTTCGCAACTATAGTACAGAGAAATGTAAATGGTAATGTTTAATTTCTTTCGGCGAGGATTCTTCGTCGATCGCCAGCAGAAATGAATTCAGTTCTTTGACATTTTCAAAGAGTGTTATACGAACGATTTTTGATTTGGGGCCATTTTTTTTTTTTTTTTTTTTTTCAATTCGTCTTTGGAATTTCAGCTGATAATCTTTAACTCTCTACGTCTTGGGTTCATCTTCATAAATACCAATATCGAATTTTTAAAGAATTTTTTATCCGACATTATTTCTTATTACTTACTAGATAAACGTTTACAGCCACATCACGTCTAAACATACAATCACCGAAGTTAAGCAACGTCGAGCCTTGTCAGTACCTAGATGGGTGACTCGCTTGAGAATACCTGGTGCTCCAAACTTTGCTTAAAGCTTTGATGTGCGAGTGGCTTACGGCCATATCACGTTGAAACACCGTTTCTTGTATGATCATCGAAGTTAAGCAACGTCAAACCTGGTCAGTACCTAGATGGGTGACCGCCTGGAAATACCAGGCGCTATAATCTTGGATATTAGCGAATAGTGTAATATATAATGACTCGGAATTGGTTAATCGAAGAACCGCGTTCCAATTCCTGTTGTTTTCGTTATATCCACTTACGGGCAAATACACTTGGGAAAGGTAGGAATCGACCTCTTCTATCCCAAGCTATGGGTTAATCAGTAAAATTTGTATCGCTAAACCATTATGATTTCCATTTTACACAAAAATTCTAACAATCTAAAACATTTTTGGCTTTTAATAACATACAATGGTTGATAAGCCATTGAAAAGGAATTTTGTGAGTAAATGTAAAAAAAGGGATGCAGGTTCGATTTCTGTCAGAGGCATAATTTTTTTTTTTTTTAGTAGAACTTTTCAATTTAGTCCGATTGTTTTTAATTTCACTGTTTAATAAAATAAAATAAACAGAGATTAGCAACTCAAACACATGTACCAACTAGATATGCAATTTGATTGGTCCTGATCTGGCATCTCATGTACAGTCGCTCTCTCACAGACGAGCTGTCGCCTTCCTCTGCCTTTTCTACAAATATTTTCACTGTAACTGCTCCGACGAGCTACTTTCGCTAGTTCCCAGACTGCATGAATTTAAACGTGCTACTAGGCTGGCATCACGGTCTCACCCTTTCACTGTGGAAACGGTTAAATGTGACTGTCTCTTCTACTCTAATAGCTTCATTTCTCGCACATCCCGCCTGTGGAATTCCCTTCCTATTACTTGTTTCCCTGATAGCTATAGTCTCCAACTATTCAAATGTAATGTCAATCGACATCTCCAGATTCCCTGACCTATTCCCTGTACTTCTCTTCATCCTTTCCTTCATCACGCCTCTTTACTCTCTCTCTCTTTCCCACTCTGTAACCCCTTGCGTGGTAGTGGCATCTCGCCTTGCTTGGAGCGAAATGCTTAAAAAAAAGATATCACGTTTATTGTCGTTATAAATGTATACGTATCTATGCCATGTTAATATGTATTAATGATTCAGCGGCTTTGATTTTTCATGCAAATTCTCCAGCATTTAAGGAAAGGTTTGATAATATTCTAGATAAACACGTGAAATTCAAGTCAAGATTCTAACCAAAGGTCAATATCTATCTATCTATATATATATATATATATATATATATATATATATATATATATATATAGTTTATGCAAAACGAGGTAATCCGCATGGGTAGACCCAAGGAGGATGATATCCGGAGAGCTCAATGTAAAATTCAGAGCCGATATGTTTGAATAAAAACAGACCACTTTAAGTTTCCATGTAATAAGTTATTTCACCACAACCCCTTTAACAGGGCTCTGGATCATCAGACTTTACTTCCAAAGGTTGAAATGAAAAATGAAAAGAAATTCACACGTTTTTGACGGACCGCATCAAGCATATGTAAAATTAACGAAGTGAGGAAGTGAGGTGGGAGAGAAGATAAGATATGAGTGGGTTAGATGTACCATTTCAATTCTTTATTCTTAAACCCACTGTGTGTCGGCTAACGCGTATTGTCTCTAGATATAGGTGGGTAAGGGGTGAGGGAGAAGACCGACATTAAAGGAAGAAGCTACAACAAACCATAATAAATTACATTCCACGAGGGCAGGTTTCATTCAAATTCTTAGACGCTGTTAATTCGCATTAATTTAAAGGGCATATTTGGGAGGTTAAGGTTTGATATAAATCTAAATGTCTAAACAATCTACGAAGAATTTAATTTGAAGTTCGTTGGAGTTTTGGGTATTTTCTATGAAATAGTCGATTGCAAAAACTCATAGAGAGTACATTGAAAAAGTAATCCATTTTATATTTAGTAATATTTTTTATTTTTCTAAACTCCTATCTTATTGATTGTTAAGTTGACATCTATTCGTTTGATTAACAAACTCGAGTTTATTTAATTAATGAACAAAAATCAAAAGAAACTAAGATTGTAGTTTTCAGGGAAGCATTTTCTCGGGAGTTGGTTCCACAAAGTAAGAGTTCCGGAAAAGAAGCTGAGTGGAACTTGTTTTTCTTATTAAAGAAAAAAACGTAGTGGATGGGCATAATTTGCTACAGTTAATATATCATGTCGGTTTCTAGCTGTGAAGGTCCGATTTGGTGACACAAAGGAATGTCATCATCCAAACAGTTGCCATATTAATAGCGATAAAGTAGCGAAAGGCTAGCGACCTTTCGACAGTTGTATAAAGGGTTGCTGAGGGAAGAAGGATTTATCACCCACAAGGCAGCACAATATGTGTTTTATAATTGTAGTTTTGTTGAACTTTTGCGGCGCCGTTTGATTTAAGAAATTTTATGATATTGTTGAAACTTGACTAATGCATGGAATAATAATGCAACACAAAAGGTACTTCGAACAAAATGTATTGAAACAAGAAAGTGTACACAATATTTACATATAGTCTTTTGTATATTCCTGGTAAGACCGTTCCTGGAGAATGTGTTGACTGAGTCGCAGTCGGGCAGAGTCTCGGTTTGAATCTCTTGATTCCTCCCTCTCTTCCCGGTACCAACCATATTTTTATGGTCGGTACTCCACTATGCAAATTAGGTGGATCCTACCACAACAGATAATATATGGACTAATATCATGAAAGAGTTCTTTCATGTTTGTTGTTTGGTTGTTTGATTTTATTTGGCTGGTTGATTTCGTTTGGTTGGTAGGTTTTGTTTGGGGGCATATCAACTTTTATGGGTAATTTAATGCGGAAATCTAAATATTTTGTACATAATTTTATGCTTTCAACTATAGATATTTTGTTTATAATTTTATACTTTAAGGATAAACATGTTTTTAGATATACATTTTATAGATCATAAAGTGTATTGTTGGTGATTTTACTATAAATATGTATTTTTATTTATTTTTTTTTTAGTTTTTGATTGTCACTTTGGTATAAAAATGTATTGTTGGTCCTTTTATCATGAAAATGTACTGTTGATATTTCTTTGGGGATTTACTATCTGTCCACAACTGGGACCCTAATAGATGCTACCACCCCGGGTCAGAGTGGACTTGAGAACAACAGCAATTAAGATGTGGTTCCACACTCCTCAAAATTGCCAATCTCCCGATCAGAGGCCTTACTGCCAGATGTAGTTTATTGTCATACCCAGGACGTCATGCAATGTTAATGCAATGTTTATACACTGATACACTGCACTAATGCGTAAAGTAAATGTAAAACAGGAACTGAAAGTTTTGAATATGAACATTTTAGGAACATGTGAACTGAAATGGAAACAAATTCTGATTTTATAAACGATGATAACAGAATCAGTATTCACAGAACTGAAGAGAAATGAAAGAGGGTTTAGAATAATCTTATATATAAATTACAGTGTATGTGTGTGTGTTTGTGCGTGTGTGTCCAAGCAACTCCTCCGCTCTCACTGGTCCGATTTCAATGATTCATAGCTCATTAAAAATCCCTAGACGCAGGGAACGATTTTTGTTGGGCTCAGTTTTAGGGTTGCCAGATTATGCGAGGTTAAAAATATATATTAATATATTATATTCCATAATATAAGTTTTACTTAATTGGTTATTATGTTTCTTTAACTCTTCAAATGTTGAATGCATAACTAATTTTAATTTCTATATTAATTTCTATATTAATTTTATCTTATGAATTGTCACCTATTCCGTCACCCATGAAATAAAAATAATTGCTTGCACGGAAGATAAGGATCTACGGACATCAAATCGTCTTTAAATTAAGTGGCAGCAGAACAATTATCGTTGAACTTTTAAAAGGTAAGCTTGAACTTTAATTCAGTACTTAAATACAGCGATGATGGCCAAACCAAGAGTCCTCAACAGGAGCTAGCTTAAATTAAGTTAGCACATAATAAAGAAAAGTGACTAAATGTCGTTATTATTGCTGAATTTTAGTTTTTTTTATTTATAATAATATAATAATATTAGATAAAAATCAAAAGAAGTGTGTTTTGGGATACTGGCAACAGTCAAACAGAGTTCTGATAGTGAAAAGGAAATGGACGACATTCAATATGGTGGCCTAGGTTATACATACGCCCCAGCCCACGTCAGAAAGAACCGAAGTAGAAATACGTAAGTTTTACAACTCACTAGAAAATATTTGTTATATAGGAATAAAGTGTCGCTGTCGACACTTGAGTTTGAACATAGATCGCCGGTGAGCAAACACGGGCGATCCCATTATTGAATTAAATAGACCACGTGACCATAGAAGGTTTAATGGGTTTAAATACAAAGTGTGTACGTTCTCAAGCAGGACGAAAAAAAAAAAGCTCCTAAGAATGAAAGGAGTACTGAAACATAAAGAAACCGAGAAAACGCATTTGAAGAGAAAGGACAATAAAAGAACGGGATTCAAGGAGACAGGAGATGACGACTGATGCTGCATTTAAATTTCCGAAGATAGCAGTTGAGAAAAAAAAGCAAGAATCCGGAAGAGAATTCCACAAGTGAGAAGTACGTGAGAAGAAACTTTTGTCATATAATTGGTTACATCTAGCTAATTCAACTGTGAATTGATGAAACTTTTTTCTTTTTTTTTTCTTTTTGTTTTGTTTGTTTGGATTTTTTGTACTTGTTTTTTGTGGGACATAGTCCTGAATATGACGATAAACTATATCCGGGAGATTGGAAGTTTTGAGGAGCGTGAAACCACCTCTTAATTAAAGTTGTTTCCAGGTTCATCCTGACTGTGGTGGTAGCACTTGTCCGAGTCACAGGTATGGGATAATAGTAAACCCCTAAACAAAAACAAAAAAACAAAAAACTATAATACTATAAAAAAATCCATTTTTATAGTAAAAATACCAGCAACAGATTTTTTTTTAAATGACTAAACAATATATATTTAAAGCAAAATGACCAACAATACATTTCAGCTGTAGTTAAAGACGCACAATAGCGCTCAAAATATTTAAATTTCGGCATTAAATAACCCATAAGGCGTTGATATGCCGCGAAATAAAATTAACCTTTTTTTGTGGGATGGGGT